CCGATCCGCACTTCGAAACAAGGCCACCCGCCCCTATCTGCATCCGAACTTCATTATCCGATCCGCGGCGTGAAACAACGCTGGATAAGGGATGTCGAGTAGGGTAGAATATTTTCATATCCGACCCGTCCGAATATCCGATATTTTTTGGGGTTAGGGTTAGGCTTCCTAGGATACGACGTCGTTTAAGCCTAGTATATATGTTAGTGTTTGCAGCGCTAACTTCATTTGCGCAGTCGTTCATTGTTCCTCAGCAGTCTAGACTTCTCTCTACTCCTCAGCCCACAACCCTCAATCCCATCATTCATTTGCTCCGATCCTCTCTGTGAATCTGTTCTCTAGACTCTAATCCTTTGTTCTCTCTTCTTCTCTGATAGTCCGATTGTCCGATTCTCTCTGTTCTGTGTTCTCTGACTTCTCTGTTATTGTCTCACTCTCTGAGACGGTGAGACTTGTGTCCGAGAAAGTCGTCTACTCGTCTCTGATTCTCTGGTGGCCGTTGGCGACTTATAGTGGTGGAGGCCCTTCTCTCTGTTCTGTGTTCTCTGACTTCTCTGTTCTTGTCTCACTCTCTAAGACGGTGAGACTTGTGTCTGAGAAAGTCGTCTCCGATTCTCCGGTGGCCGTTAGGGACTTAGAGTAGTGGAAGCCTTTCTCGTGATGATTACTGATTAGAAGCCCTTCTCGTGGTGATTACTAATTAGAAGCCCTTGTTCTCCGAGAAATATTTTGGGGGAAACCAAGTAAATCACAAATCCTAGTTTATATTTCTGTTTTATCAAATGTATTGTGAAATATTTTGATATATTATGGATATTTTATGATATATTGAGATATGTTCATATGTATCGCAAACCTTAGTTTTATATTTGTGATTTATTATGTGTACTGTGATATATTGTGATATATTATGAATATGTTCTGTCAGTTATGATATATTGTGATATATTATTGTGGAAGTAGTTTGATATTTGGAATATATTGTGAAATATTATGGTGGAAGCAGTGTAAACTGTGAGTATTTAATTTTGTGATATTATGTGATGATTGTGATCTATTGTCCCTTCTTCAATTAAAGGCTTGAATGTTAAATTATCAAGGTTGAAACTTGAAATTTTCATTTATTGGTGGAAGCCCCTTAACTGAAATTCAGATAATGATGAACTGGATATAGTTCCTGAATCTGGATTTCTTTGTAATGTAAATATGTAATATGTTTATGGATGTATAACGTTTAACTGTTTGTAACGTAAATATGTAAATATGTAATTGTGAAATTGTGAAATCTTGATAAATGATGACACAAACAAAAAAATGCATAATTTCCAACCTTCCCTTCTCATATTAAAAGGAGCTACCAATGTTGATTTTGATAGCTCAAATATTCTTTGCAGCAAAAACTAATAAATGTGATGCAACTCACATGAACATACTAGGCAATCTTTCAGACAAAATTTTGTATTCTTAATTAAACAATAAATTTAATGACAAAATTAAAGTCAAAGTTGATCTAACACAAAATTAAGAGAAGTTAAAAAGAAAGTAAGAGTCTCCTGTGAGGCAATAGCAAACAGAATTGAAGAATCCTCAGAACAAATTAAATTACATGACAAATAAATAGAGAGTGAACTAATATTGGAGCTGTCCTCTTCATATATGCTGGGATTTATGACGCACCCTGTGAGAAAGACAATATCCACTATCCAGTGCCCATTTAACTGTGAATTCTTTACCTCAATCATCCAGATTTGGAAAGAGAGAGTAAATAAAGAGAAGGTAATAATACCTTTGGGAATTGGGATGCTTTCTGCAGCAAGCAGCTGTGGTGTGAAATTTGCCTAAAATGATACTCCGTAGCTCACTTCTTGTATTTTCTGTCTGAAACTTCAAACATCAAACACACGTACGTGTAGATAGGGTTCCCCAATTCGGTCGGTTGGAATAACCGAATTATTTCGGTTTAATAATATACTGAACAAGTGAACCGTAATGAATTTTTGTATACAGAATAATTCGGTAAAAAATAGAACTGAATATAATAATAATAATAATAATAATAATAATAATAATAATAATAATAATAATGAAGTAAATTCATGTTCCCTTTTGTCTAATCTGTCGTTCAACTCATATTCTCACTGATATCTCTATTAAATTTTTTATTTGATTTCTTTGTGACTTGTTCTCTACTTTGCACTTTTGTTGTTTGCTGCAATTGTTCTTTGCCTCACAATTGTCTCTAACTTGAGTTATTCTTATAATATTTAATATTTTTATAAAATTAATGTACTTCAACATCATTCTAATTTGGGAATAAGGGTCAAATAGGCCACCGAACTACACAACAAAGTGCAATTGGGCTATCGAATTAAAAAAAAAAATGCAATTGGGTTCCTGAACAATACAAAATCATGCAATTAGGTCTAAAATGACATGTTGGCTCACAGAAAGTCAAGAATTCGCAACCCTTGTCAATGGCTATTGGAACGTCGTCTAGTTGATGCTCCGTCTTGTGTGTCTCCACCTCGTGCTTCGTCATGAGCTTGCGCCCTTCCTTGTTCCTGCTCACCGCCCTAAACATCACCGTCTCCCTTGTATGACTTTTGGCACTGCCATTCCAAGTACGAGGTGGGAGATGAGAAAATTGTGGATGTCCTGAAAATGAAAAAAAAAAAAAAAACAAAACAAAACAAAAACAAAAAATGCAATCTTTGAACAAAAAGTAGAGAAGTACACACACATACATATAGAAAGATATGCTCACCACACCGTTCTTGAAACCTAGAACAATGGGTTTGAAGAAGTGTGGCTTTTGGGAGGAACACATTACATAGTGCAAAAAACTTGGAAGAAAGTTTGTCTAAGGTAAAAGTGAGGTGATGAGATCCAGATCTGGTTTGACTATTGGCGGCCTGCACATGCACGTCCCTATTGACAACTCTATCCATACGTTCTTACTTGTACTCAGGATGCAATGCCATAGGTTTTCGTCGACACACCAAGCAGGCCAAGCTACCCAAATATCAACACGACCTCATGACGCCCATTGAGAAAGGGGTATGGCCGTGTCGACGGTACTAATGCCCTTGCGAAAAATGACTCGGTTGTGACACACCTAGGACATGGCCGTGTCGACAGTGACCCCCTACCCCCGGTGGATTTGGCTCCCGAACATCCTCTAGATGTTCCTTCTAAGCCCAAATGATGTCGACCAACACCCCTAGCTCAACGTACACATCCTATGGTCCTTCACCACATGACTCATGACTCCACAGGTAACAAAGCTTTGATTGATGTATAGATAACTTCAATCGCACTTGCCATTTTCAAGTCGTGAAGAGCCCTGAATGGTAAACAATAATGGACAAAGAATTCATGGCACTACTACTCAATAACACCTGGAAGTTGGTTCCACCTAAATGTGATATGAATGTAATTGGATGCAAGTGGGTGTTCTGGCTTGCTGCAAAAGGATTCAACCAGGTTAAAGGAGATGATTGCTTTGACACTTTAAGTTCAATGGTCAAGTCAACTACAGTAAGACTCCTCTTATTTCTTGCCATAAAAAAATGGTTTGGTCAATAGCTTGATATTCACAATGCTTTCCCGAATGGCTGTCTAAATGAGAACGTCTTTATGAAGCAATCACTTGGGTACATTGACAAAAATCGTCCTAATCATGTTTGCAAATTGCAAAAGTCCCTCTATAGTTTGAAGTAAGCACCTCGTGCGTGGTTCAAGTGTTTTCATGAATGTTTATTTCCAATAGGATCCAAGGCTTCAAAAACTGATATCTCTTTATTTTTCTATTGTATTGCTAACACACAAATTTATTTATTAGTCTATGTTGATGATATACTAATAATGGACGGCAACAAAAGCCTCTTCACCTCCATAACAAGAAAACTAGTTGATATCTTCAAAATCATATATATGGGACATCCAAACTTCTTTTTGGGAATAGAGACAGTTCACAACAAGGGGGCGATGATCCTATCACAAAGAAGGTACATGATTGAAATACTCAAAAAGTCAGGAATGAAACAATGCAAACCATATGAAAATCCCACACAATACCGCAATCTAGTTGGACCACTTTAGTATCTAGTCGTCACTTGTCAAGATCTCTCATTTGCAATCAACAAACTCTACCAGTTCATGCACTCTCCAAATACTGAGCAAGTTGGGTCGTTAAGGTATGTCAAAGGTACTGTAGACTACGATCTACATTTTACTATGATATTCATGCCTTTTCGGATTCTGATTGGGTGGGGTGTCCTGATGATTGCAAGTCCACTAGTGATTTTGTTGTTTTCATTGGTAAAATTTAATATCTTGGGCATGTTGCAAGCAAAAAACAATGGCTAGATCCTCAACAAAAGCATAATACAAAACATACAATAGCTTATGTCAGCTAAAGTAACATGGTTAGTTGTTCTCATTCGAGAACTTGGTCTCATTGTGCTAAAACCACCCCAACTCTGGTGTGACAATCTTAGTGTTATTATTTTGTGTGCAAATCCTATTTTTCATACCCGAATAAAACATGCAGAAATAGACTACCATTTTGTTCGTAACAAAGTAACATCAAAGGAACTACACGTGAATTACATCTCTACAAAAGATCAACTGCTAGACTCTTCACCAAGCATCTCACCACAATCAGATTCAACATTCTAAGGAACAAGCTCAATGTGCCTTAAACTTGAGAGGTATATTAGGACTTTGTATTCTATTTACATTAGAATTTCTTCTTATTGTATTAGTGTAAATCTATTTTTATCAAGCCTGACCTAACTAGAATAATCTTTGTATTCTTATAAATACATCTCTTCCTGTATTTTATAAATTGGATTAATCAATATAAAAATTATCGATAGAATTATTGTTCTCATCGTCTTAGCACCAAATATGTTGAGAATAACTGGCCATAATGACATCGTGACTATTGAAGGTATTTTTCAGCTGTGGAGAGCTACTTGCTCAATGAATCATCTTTCTTTACCTTAAAACTTTTACTTGATATTGATTCTACCAAGCTTCTAGGTGAAAGGATGTAGTGGCAATTATCCCAAGACTTTACATTCAATTCCAAGATCCATAATATGTTTCAGGTATCGAAGTCTAGGATATAGATAGTAACAACATTATTGGAGTAGATGAGCAATGATACATATGTTTTGAGGATTTAAAACCAATAATAATACTGAAGAAGAAATCATACTTGAACCACTCTCAACGAGCTTGTTTTCAGCTATAAAGAATTAAAGAGACCATTGTAGCCGGCAAATCTCCCCTTCTTCTTTATCAACAGCGCATAGACATTATATTTACTCGAACCTCATATTCTCCACTTCTTCCCGTATTGAATCGAACAGCTCAGTCGAGAGATAACGCTCCCCAAAGCTTGGGAATATGACCTGCAAGTGGCATTTCATTGAACAAGGCAAGCTTCACTGCGAATGTGATGGATTACTAGGATAATGAACTAGACTCCAAGACTTGAGACCATTGTTTAGAAGCAACTTATATTTCTAGCTTCACACAAGAGCAGCGAGAATATCTAGACCGCCATCACATTTGCGGGCCAGTCTTAATACCACTTGTTAGGATCAAGTGTTTACCACTACGCTAAAAGTTATAGTTAGTAGCGAAGACGCAACTTTATTTCCTAATAGACCGCCATCACATTTTCGAGAGGCAGGGTGCTGGACTTAGCCCATTACGGGCCTCCGCCCAACATATGAAACGAGTCACACTTACAACAAGAAGTTTTCCCGCATTCTCTGGTCTTCTTGCAATTTTGATTGCAGCAACAGCTGCTGCCCCTGATGAAATGCCCACCTGAGTGAAAATGGAGAATTGAACTTTCAGGCTATGACAATGTACATCAAACAATGAAGAATGAACTAAAGGGAAATTACATAATAGAGATGGCATCACCATAATACACATACAAATAAACCTTCTTTCAGACACAGAAGCTTTGTCATTTCAAAGGCTTCCTCATTGGTCACCTAAAATTAATGCCCGACAAGATGAAGCCGTTAGCAAAATTGGGCGCGATAGATATTCAAAATAAGGAGGGGAGGATCTTACTGTAACAACTTCCTCAAGTATGCTCACATCCAAAACCGGATGAATACTATCAGTACCAATACCTTGGATTTTATGTTTTCCTGGATGAAGATAAGTAGATATGTTAAACAGGACTGTTTATATAGGCTTACAAGCCAGTAATAAATATAGGTTTGATTTTAGGACAACGTATCGTGGCATGACATCAAGATATGACATTCAAGTCAGTACTCCATTTGACTATGAAAAGCAGAAACTTTACCAAAACCAAAATTTTGAATGACATCAAAGATTACTCCAAACCTGGCTTTCCTCCATTTAGAAATGCACTATCAGCTGGCTCTACACCGTATACCTGCTTCAGAAGAAAGCGAATACAAAGCAATTAAAAACTATGATGAATGAGCAAGTCCAAAGTGGTATTTATGATAAAAACAAATTTAAATCCACCTTTATTTCTGGATTCTTTTCTTTGAGAAATTTTCCTGCACCTGTGATTGTTCCTCCTGTTCCAATCCCAGCAATTAAAGCATCAACATTCCCTTCAGTGCACTTCCATATCTCTGGTCCAGTTGTTTCATAGTGAGTCTACACATGGAAATTAAAGCTGATAAGAAGAATGCCTCTACCATCAATGAATCAATCCCTGAATTTGAAAATAGGAATACCTCGGGATTAGCAGGATTATCAGCCTGGCGTAAAAAATAACAGTTTGGGGTCTTATCCATTATCTGTTGGACCCTTTCAAGAAGACCATCTACACCCTTGGCTCCGTCAGTGATATGTAGTTCAGCTCCAAAAGCTTTAATAATAATTCTTCTTTCAAGACTATATGTATGTGGCATCACAACTATAAGTTTATACCCCCAAGCTGCTGCAATAGATGCAAGACCAATGCCAGTATTGCCGCTGGTTACCTCTATAAGGACGCTCTTCAGCAACCATATTTACAAATTTGAAGAAAATAGTTTGTTAGAAATGAATAAACATGGATGATAGATAGGCATATGATGTGAATAGGCATAGAAGATAGAAAGGCATAGGATATGAATAGGCTGTAGAGCTTCCCTACTTATATATATATATATATATATATATAGAATCGCACTCAGGTGCGAATGCTTCGCCCAGGCGCGAAATAGGAATGAATTCTGTTCGTCCACGTGTCCAGATCTAATGGATGAGAAAAACTGATTTTTTTAAAAAATGCGGTGGCATTTTCGTAAATAATTGAACATCGAAGTGCAAGTAAAATGTATTACAAGTGCATGTAAAATGTATTATAGGTGCAAGTAAAAATTTACACTGAGCATCAATACTTAGTTGCACCTATAGTTCTAATTAGTTGCACCTATAGTTCTAAGTAGTTGCACACATAGTTATAAGTAGTTGCACCTAAGTGTATGAATGTTTGCGAGTGGTTTTCAGGAGTATCACTACCCGCTGAACTCAGATCAATGAATATTAACAAGGCAAAATTACATGCACTTATAGGTGAAAGTAGGTGCACCTATAGTTATAAGTAGTTGCACCTATAGTTATAAATAGTTGCACATATAGTTATAAGCACACCGAGGTGCATGAATGTTTGCGGAAAGTGAATGCTAACAAGGCAAAATTACATGCACTTATAGGTGAAAGTAGGTGCACCTATAGTTATAAGTAGTTGCACCTATAGTTATAAATAGTTGCACATATAGTTAGAAGCACACCCAGGTGCATGAATGTTTGCGGAAAGTGAATGCTAACAAGGCAAAATTACATGCACTTATTGGTGAAAGTAGGTGCACTTGTAAGTGATTTTACTTGCACTTCGATGTTCAATTATTTACGAAAATGCCACCGCGTTTTTTTTTAAGTTATTAGATCTGGACACGTGTCGCGCGCTGATTCGTTTGCATTTCCCTCCTGAGCACTTATTCGCACCTGAGTGCATCCTTTTATTTATATATATATATATATATATATATATCAGTGTTGTGGTAGTGAAGAATACACAAAGAATAAGAGAAACATGTTCCAAGAAATTATTTCTTTCTAGGCTTTGCTCAGTTCGGAACAGGAAGACGACACCGGAGCTCGGACCACACCGTCATCAAAGCCTCCACGCACCGTCATAGTGCCGCTGCTCCAACGCCACGCGCCAGCGCGTGTGGCATTTTCCGGCAACGTCTCCGGCGGGAAATTACACCAGTCAACTCGTCCCAGTGAGTAGGTTCTGCCCATGTATGTTTTGTGGAGTTTTGGGTTGTTGATATTCTACACTACTTAGGGTTCACGTTTATTTCCTATGGTTGAACTTGAATATGTCGGCCATGGCAGAAGGAAGTAATAGGAATATTACTGTTGTATCTACTCCATCTAAATTAATTGATGTAGTATTGGTTGCTGATGGGTCTAATTTTGATGAATGGAAATTCTTAGTTAAAATTAATTTAGATGGAATGGGTAAAGGTAGGGATGACCACGGTTCGGTTCGAACCGTAATCGTTACTGTGCTAACGGGAACCGAACCGGAACCGTCCGTACGGTTCCGATTCCGGTTCCTAACCGGAACCAATAAGGTTCTAGTTAAGGTTTTCAAAATATTGGAACCAGAACCGTCAGTTCCATTTCCAAACCAAAAAAAAAAAGTTGAAATTTGAAAATTCAAAAGTCTAAACCAACAGGCTACTGGCATAGGCCAGTGGCCTGCTGGCTGCCAATAATTAGATAAAGATTTCCCTCCAGATAATAAGGAATGGGAAGTAGATGATAAAGCTTTGTTATCACGGGTAATTAATTATATTGATAGGAAGGTAATCTTATTAATGAAACATTGTACCACGGTTAAAGCAGTGTGGGGGTTAGTATCTGAATGGTTTAGTAGGTCAAGTAATTTGAGGAAATTGTATCAATTGTCTCAAGATGTCTATAGTCCTAATCAAAAAGGTTGAGATCTTTGAGATTACTATTATGATTTCAAAAGTTCAAGTGAAGCTTTGTGTACTACAATGCCTATTACAACTAATGTGAAGACAATGAAAGCACAACGTGATCAATGAATTGCCTTTAGCTATAGCTAGATTTCCGAGCTTGACAAAGTATATGAGATTCTTAGGTCACAATTGATGGGAAATAAGGAATTAGGGTCATTGGACCAAGTGTTCTCCTAGATACAAAAAGCAGTAGTAAGCATTGACAATAATGCACCTCCCGAGAAAAGTGTTTTTATATCACAAGGAGGCAATGGTGAAGGAAGTGCATTTGTGTCGCAAAGAAGTTATACTAGCGAAGGGTATAATAGTTGAGGTGGAGGTGGTCACCATCGAGGACGTGGTGGAAGAGGTCGTGGAGGACTAAGGGTATGTTTCAATTGTGGAGAACTTGGTAATCATAAGTCAATGTCCTAAACCACCCAGGCAGCAAAGGTTTGCTAACACAACCTCTGGGTCTGAAGGACATATGGTGGTTATGATAAATGAGGAGTTAGCAGCGTTCAATCAACTAAAGGTGTCTTCTTTTATGCAATCTCCATCCCAATTTCCATCTAATCAACCGCCTTCTTTTGCAACCTTTATACAAACAGGTAATCCTGTTGCATGTGTGTCTTCTTCGTCTACACAGTGAGTCATTGACTCCGAAGTTAGTGACCATATGATAGGTAATTCTAATGTTTTCTCCACATATTCTCCATTTAACCCTGGGGTTGTGGTTACTCTAACGGATGGGTTATCTGTTCCAGTTTTGGGTAGAGGTAGTGTTATTGCAACCTCATCATTACCCCTGTCATCTATATTATATCTTCCAAAGTTTCCCGTTAATTTGCTTTCTATTAGCCAAATCACACGAACTTGAATTGTTCTGTCTCCTTTTTCCCGAGTTATTGTTTATTTCGTGATCTTTTGACGAAGAAGATTATTGGTAGGGATGGCAATGGGTCGGGTGTGGGTCGGGGAATGCTACATCCATCATCCGACCCACCTTATATTTTCTCCACCTACCCCCACCTCCAACCCGCATCGGGTTGACTTTTTCAGAACCCATCCCCACCCCCACCGGGTGCGGGTGCCCACTACGGATACCCACTACTTATCATCTTATTATGTTTTTCAAAAAATAATATAAATTATTTACACATAATATAAAAAATAAAATCCATTAGTGATACTAAAACATAAATAATGAAAATATTTAAATATAATAACTAAATTGTTAATTTTTAAAAATAAACTTAGTAGTTTTGATATAAAAAATAGTAAAAAGATACAAGAAGTTATATAAACTTTTATAAATAACTACATACTAGTACTTATTTTACTATTTTATATATATATATATATATATATATATATATATATATATATATATATATATATATATATATATATATATATATATACACACACACACACACACACACACATGGTGGGTCGGATGGGGTTCTAGGCGGGTCTTGTACATAGAACCCGAATTCAACTCGACCCACCACGGATTTGCTTTTTTAAGACCCACCCCGACCCACCACCCACCATCACCCAAAAGAACCCGATCCATGCGGGGTGGATTCGGGTGGATATCCACGGGTCGGATTGAAATTGCCATCCCTAATTATTGGTAAGGGGAAGGAGTAAGAGGACTATATGTACTGGAACAGTCTATATAGGGATGTCAATGTGGCCCGAACCCGATGGGCTAGCCCGATCAAACTGAAACTGATAGGGCTATGGCCCGAAAGGGCTAGCTCGATAAAAAGCATTACCCCGATGAGCCTGAAACTGATAAGCCCGATGGCCCGATAGGGTTAGTCCGAAATTAAATGGGCTAGCCCGACAACCCGTACTATTGAAAACTATTCTTTATTATAGAAGTGATGTGAAACATAACATACATGAAATTTATAGGTGAGGGCATCTTTAGTATTTTTTTATTACATTTTAAAATAAAATTTTAATAAATATATTACAATATAAATTATTTTTATAATAATAAATAATGAAAAATTAAAAACTTACTGTACATATTATATTATAATGTAACTGTGTAAGTATATTAATTATTTTTAGTTAGAATTTAGAAATGTTGGCTTAGATTAATTGAATTATGTATAAGTTTATATTTATTATTGTATATGTCATAGTTTGAAATATAATTATAATTTATTTAACATTGACATAATTTATATGTAATATTTTTATTTTTACTTTATAATTATAATATTATTATGCTGTGAAGTTTATAAAATGTATAGTTTATAACTTTATTTAATTTATGTAATAAATAAAATTTAAGTCAGTTCATGCAAACACCTACGCAAACTCATTGGGAGGCAGCTGTTCGAATTGTAAAATATCTCAAGAATGCGCCCGTAAAGGTATTCTATATGGTGATCAAGGACATATGAGAGTTGAGGCATTTTCTGATGTTGATTGGGCAGGCTCGTTGAGCGACAAAAGGTCTACAACAGGGTATTGTGTGTTTGTAGGAGGTAATTTGGTTTCTTGGAAAAGCAAGAAATAAACAAAATGTTGTGGCTTGGTCCAGTGCAGAATCTGAGTATAGGGATGACTCATGTGACATTTGGGATAACTTGGGTGCATAATATTTTGAAGGAGGTTGGTGTGGAAGTGATGAAGCCCATACGTTTATGTGTGATAATCAAGCGGCTATACACACCTCAAATAATCCAGTGTTCCATGAGCATACCAAGCATATTGAGGTATGCAGATTGTCATTTTGTGCGTGAAAAGATTCAATAAGGATTAATTTCTATGCCTCATGTTCGGAGTGACGATCAACTAGCTGATTTATTCACTAAAGGACTCAACATGGACAATGTTGAATATATTTGTAACAAGCTGAGCATGATTAATATCGTCTAGGCTCCAACTTGAGGGGTAGTGTTAGAAATGAATAGAAATGGAAGATAGATAGACATAGGATGTGAATAGGCATGGAAGATAGAAAAACATAGGATGTGAATAGGCAGAGCTTCCCCACTTATATATATATATATATATATATATATATATATATATATATATATATATATATATATATATATATATATATAATTAGGTTCTGGTGTGGTTAGAGTGCTCAGGTGCGGTTGTGCGGTTTAATCTGGCCATTCGTCTTGCTTAAATCAACGTTCAGGATTACTAAAATTTAAAAAAAAAAACACGGTGGTAATTTTGTAATTTTTGCATTTAGGTCAAAATTAATGTGAGCGGTTCTGTGATTAATGTGTGTGAGTTTTGTATATAAGATGCGTGAGTCTTGTGCATAAGGTGCGTGAGTTTTGTGCTTAATGTGTGTGGGGTTGTGCTTAATGTGAGTAGTTGGTAAAACTTAAAGTGTGGGCTTTTGTTTTTAAGGTGCGTGAGATTTGTTCTTAATGTGAGTGGAGTTTGTGCTTAATTTGCGTAGGGTTTGTGGTTAATGTGTGTGAGGTTAGTGATTAATATCAGTAATTGTTGAGACTTAAAGTCTGTGAGTTAATACTTAAAGTGCGTGAGTTTTGTGCTTAATGTGTGTGAGATTGTGTTTAATGTGCGTGTCTTTTGTACTTAATGTGCGTGAGTTTGTGCTTAATGTCAGTAGTTGTTGAAACTTAAGGTCTGTGTGTTAATACTTAAATGCGTGGGTTTTGTGCTTAATGTGCGTGATTTTGTACTTAATGTGCGTGAGTTTGTGCTTAAGATCTAACACTTGAAGGTGCGTGGTTCCAGACACTCGTTTTTTTTTTTTTTTAATTTTCATTCGTTTGAGCCGTTAATCTAGATTTGATCAATGACTCAGATCTAACCGCACAACCGCACGAGAAGCTATACCCGCACATGAACCCTTTCCTATATATATATATATATATATATATATATATATATATATATATATATATATATATATATATATTAGAGTTGTGGCAGTGAAGAATACAGAGAATAAGAAAAACATTTTCCAAGAAATCCTTTCTTTCTAGTATCACAGTTCAAGTTTTTCAATCTGAGAATTTGAAGAGGACTATTATGCAACAAATTAAAAATTATATATTAAGTAGTGACTGCAGTTTCCCTTGTCATTCATTTAAAAATATGATAAAAATTTTGGTTTCTTGTTGAACACAATCTTAGCGATAAATCACCTACAAAGTACAAGTGAGTTTTCTCATTTAAAATCTCAGGCAAAAAAAACCAAGTTTACCTTGAAAATTTTTAGCCATGTTCCAACAGGAAGTTAATACTACACTTCACTAACCTTTCCACGGGTAATCAGACCCTTATCTTCAGCATCTTTAATCATACTGTATGCTATCCTGCATTATATTGCTGAGACTATTAACCAAATTTAAAAACGCTTCTTTAATAACAGCATCTCAAAGTTGATCGATAATCAATTCAACCTAAAAATTTATTTTAATTTTTAAGAACAAAGGAAAAATTAAAGAAAAAAAATGCATTTAAGGAATGAATAGAGGATTATATTTGCCTGTCTTTCACGCTAGAACAGGGCTCCATCATTTCCAATTTGGCAGCAATACGAGCAACACATCCTTCCACTACGTTGTTGAGGTATACCATTGGCGTGTTTCCTATTAGCTATAGAATCAAAGTTACGAAATATTAGAAGACCAATGCATAAGAAAAGTTTGAGCTGAATAATTATCAGAAGCTGCATACTTCAGTAATATCTTTGGCAATTTTATCCATTTCCTCCATAGCCCTAGCAGACTTACTGTAAATGACAAGGAATAACAATTATAATGCCATTACAATACTTATGCATAAAAAAGTATTAAAAAATGCATAAAAGACTAATATAATGTTGAATTCCTACAAGGAAAAGTAGGGGGTGGATAAGGAGAGAGTGGGGTATGTTTTGCGGGATCCATATTAGGTTGGATCAATATTTAACAAACCTAATATATATATATATATATATATATTCATTATAAGGAAGGGGGATACCCTACATATACACATTATTGCCTCAATTGAGGTTCGAACCTTACACCTCCCACTTAGGGGAGCAATCCGATACCAGTGGACTACAAGCCACTTGGTATATGTATATGTATGTATATGTATATGTATATATATATATATATATATATATATATATATATATATATATATATATATTTTTGTTGAGATTAACAAGAACAAGAAAAATAATAATGGCAGAAAGGTAAAGAAGACAAGATTTACGTGGTTCGGCAAAGTGCCTACATCCACGGGAGTGAAACAATACTTATATTCATAGTGGTGGTGATAGTGGTGACACACCCCCTTAGGGATACAACCAATATATTTATAGGCATCTAATCCCTATACAATAGGTCTACCCATTTCGCTCCTACTCCTAGTATGAGACAAACACTTATTCCTAATCCATATATGAGACAAACTCAACATATATATATATATATATATATATATATATATATATATATATATATATATATATATATATATATATATATATATATATATAGAGAGAGAGAGAGAGAGGAAGGTTCAAGTGCGGCAGTGCACTTAGGTGCGGTGGTGCGGTTAATTTTAGGCCATTAGATTAGATAAATTCAACAAATCACATTCATTAAGGCTTTTCCGATATTTCCGCGCGCGTTCTCACACTACGCGAACTGCAAGGTTAAAGTCGTCATTGGACACCAGAATAGATCAAATAATCATAGTGTTGTGTGTTTTATGTTCGTTATTGGTGCATTATTAACCTTACTGTGGTGTATTTGAGAATTCGTGTTGGTGCCTTCCGGAGCGGTCAGTGCGACCGCACTAATAGTTATACAAATATACACCATCCATGTTAGAAAATGCACACCAAAAAAACATGCACAAATTAGATACGCATCACCAGAACGCACCACTAGGTATGAATAAAAGCATCACACACTACTGGAAATTCTAAAATTTTCGACCACCTGAAAATGATCTTAAATTAAGTTGATACCAAAAAGTCCAAAAAGTGGTCGGAAATAGCAACAAAGGTTTTTCTGGATACCAAAAGTGGTCGGAACAAGACTTTCAACTTGATTTAAGATCACTTTCAGGTGGTCGGAAATTTCAGAATTTCCAGTAGTGACACAGTGTTCAGAAATACACCATTGGGGTGGTGAGTTATATGGTGTATTTTTTTGGTGTGTTGTGTGTTTTTTGGTGTATTTATGCATTTCATTGTGGTGCTTTTTCACACTATTGGTGTCTTTTGTTAACACTGTTGGTGTATACTGACAAGCGACCCATATAAATGACCACTACAATTACCATAACACACCCCCCACTTACCAGGACGCGCTTAAATCTTTAAATCTTCAGAAATTAGTCGCTGCCGTTAGATTAAGCAGAATGGACGATGCTGATGTGGGCGCACCGCCGCACCTAAAGCCACTGCCGCATATGAGCCTTATTCTATATATATATAGAGAGAATTGCATTCAATGACACGATCAATTAGGTGAAATGGTGAGATTAGATCCTGATCATCCATTTTCTTATTTTAACGGATAATAATAATAATAATAATAATAATAATAATAGTAATAATAGTAATAATAATAATAATAATATCTCTATCTCTATCTCTATCTCTATCTCTCTATCTCTATCTCTATCTCTTTCTCTATCTCTATCTCTATCTCTATCTCTATATATATTAAAGCAAAATAATTGTCCCAAAAAGTTTCCTCCAAATGTCAAAACATTAATTGTATTCATATTAATTTATAAATAGATACGTGTAATTCCAAAATAATTTTCCTACAAATGTGAAAATATTTATTGTATTCTTATTAATTTATAAATAGATTCATGTACTTGCCAAAAAATTTTCCCTCCAAATGTGAAAACATTTATTATATTCATATTAATTTATAAACGGATTCATGTAATATAATATGTTGACTAAAAGAAGAATATAATATTAGTTACTATATCTATATATATATATATATATATATATATATATATATATATATATATATATATATATATTATAGTAATTATTATAATAATAATAATTCACATACAAAAAGAATTTTTCACATCCAGAAACGCGGAATCATGCATCCTATTAGCCTTAACGAATTATTATTACTATAATTACTATTACTATAATAATAATAATAATAATAATAATAATAATAATAATACTATAATACTATTTAAATTAAAACATCCTTAATTAAATTATTTAAATTAAATCAGCTTATATATTTAATATTACAAATAATCATTCATAATTAAATTAGATCATCCATAATTTTCTCTCCAAATGTCAATAACATTAATTGTATTCATATTAATTTATAATAGTCTAGATTAAGTGTGTGCGAACGTGAATTAAATGTGTGCAAACGCGATTAAGTGTGTTTGCACACATTTAATTCGTCTTTGCAACACTTAATATAATCTAGACCATTACAAAATATTAGATGGATGCACATGATTTGTTCTCACGTTCTCACCTAAGCAAGTGTTCTCATTGGAACCCTACTATATATATAGAATTAGGTTCAAATGCGGTTGTGCGGTGAGAGGAGAGCCATTAATTTTAATTAAATCAACGTCCAGGATTTTCAAAATTAAAAAGAGACACGGTGACGGGTTTGACAATTTTTGCATTTATGTCAAATTTAAGATGCGTGGGTTGTATACTTAATGTGAGTAGTTGTTTAAACTTAAGGTGCGTGAGTTTTGTGCTTAAGGTGTGTGAGTTTTGTGCTTAATGTATGTAGTTGTTAAAACTTAAGGTACGTGAGTTTTCTTCTTAAGGTGTGTTGTTTTCTTTCTTAAGCTGCGTGATTTATATGCTTAAGGTGCGTCAATTGTGTGAAACTTAAAGTAAAGTATTTTAAAATCTTAGATACGTATTTTGTGTTTTTACGGTGCTTTGTTGTGCTTAAAGTTTGTGATTTGTATTCTTAAGGTGTTTTATTTGTATGCTTAAGGTACGTGATTTGTGTACTTAAGGTGAACCATTTTAATATTTAAGGTGCATCGTTTGCACAACCGCACAGAACCTTTCCCTATATATATATATATATATATATATATATATATATATATATATATATATATATATATATAGTATTGTACTAACTAACTAACTATAACTATATATATATAATTAGGTTCTGGTGCGATTGGTAGCTTCAGGTGCGGTTGTGCGGTGAAAGGAGAGCCATTGATTTCGTTTAGATCAACGTCGAGTATTACAGAATTTTTTAAAAAAAAAAAACGGTGGTAATTTGGTAATTTTTGTAACTAGGTCAAATTTAAGGTGCGTGAGTTTTCTGCTTAATGTGAGACAAAACTTTGAACTAATGGGTGGTTCAGACCCTCAAGAAGAACAAAACTTTTGAACTGATGGGTGGTTCAAACCCGCTAGAACAAAACTTTTTAATAAAACTTTCTTACAAATTAAACAAGCGTTTTTTTTTATGCTTAAGGTGCGTCAGCCGCACAACCGCACGGGAAGCTTTTACTGCACCTGAATCCTTCCATATATACATACATACATACATACATACATACATACATACATACATACATACATACATACATATATATATATATATATATATATATATATATATATATAGGGTCAGGTTCCTGTGAGGTCAGGTCTTCCCTTGCGGTCAGTGCGGCATACACCATTAGGTATGCATAAACGCACCACACAGTGTTCGTAAATACACCATTATGTGTGGTGTATTTTTTTTTTTTTTGTGTGGTGTATTTTTTGACATTTCATTCTGGTGTATTTTAGAACACTGTATGGTGCATTTATGCATACCTAGTGGTGTATGCCGCACTGACCGCACGGGAAGACCTGACCTCACAGGAACCAAAATCTATATGTATATATATATATATATATATATATATATATATATATATATATATACATAGAGAAAAATTTAATTTTGGTCCACTGACTATTGCACTTGTGTTAATTGCAACACTTGACTTTCAAAAATATTAATTTAGTATCTTGACTATCCAATTCTTATCAATTTTGGTCACGCCGGCTAAATTACCTGTCAAATGTGACCGGAAAAACTTGAACATTTTTAAAATTTTTATTCATGGGGGCAAAATAGTCATTTTACATTAAAAAAAAAAGGTTATTTGCTTCTTCTTCTTCCTCAACACCTCCGGCGCCACATACGCCGCACATAGTCTTGTTTGACATGAAATCTTATATGTATTATGCAACTTGGAGGAATAATTTATTGTAACATCTCCTTTCAACCCACTATTTGTTGTTGCTAAGTAATAACCAATGAAGTTCATCTTTTTGGATTATTTCTGTTTAGAATTTATTTTTTTTTTTACCAATTTGGTTGTTTACTTGTTTTCACACTTCATATTTTAAGCATACTTTTGCAAATTGGGGAAAGATTTTACTTTTTTTAAAAGCTATTCACTTTCTTTTTCGATTTAGCTTTTGCCTGAGGAGAATTTGGAGATAAATGCTGGTAATTCTGAGGAAATGGATGGGGTTTGTGTCCTTCTGCTACTACTTTGTTGAATGTTTCATCGTCGGATTCTTTCATGGATTTGGATTACATGAATGAATTGTTGTGTTGGGTGGAGAGAAGTGAGGGATCTGATTACATGTGGCCAGTTTTAGAGGCCAACAACAATGGCCAGGAAGAAAGGCAAAGATCATATCTCCCCGAGAATTTATCATCGGGTTTCCACTATCGAACTGCAATAAGTCCTTGGGGGCAATCTCGAAGATGTTTGGTTGAAGGTTCTGAGCTGAGTAGGGGTGGTGCTCGATTAGAGATAGATTGGTTAGGGCGGTTGAGTACATAAACGATTTTTTGAGAGACAAAGATGTTGTTTTGATTCAGATATGGGTGCCTGTAAGCAAATGCGATAGATGTGTACTAACCACAAGGGGTCAGCCTTTCCAGTTAAACAATTATTGCCCTCAACTCGCTCACTACCGGGATATCTCGGTTAATTTTCAGTTCCGGGCTGAGGAGGACTCAAACGAGAGCACTGGATTAATTTTCAGTTGCCGGAGCAGCAGAGGAATGATAGCCTTTTGCATACGCAGTGTGGAACTCCGGCGTATGTGGCGCCGGAGGTGTTGAGGAAGAAGAAGAAGCAAATAACCTTTTTTTTAATGTAAAATGACTGTTTTGTCCCCATGAATAAAAATTTTAAAAATGTTTAAGTTTTTCCGGTCACATTTGGCCGGTAATTTGGCTAGCGTGACCAAAATTGATAATAATTGGATAGTCAAGGTACTAAATTAATATTTTTGAAAGTCAAGTGTTGCAATTAACACAAGTGCAATAGTCAGTGGACTAAAATTGAAATTTTCTCTATGTATATATATAGGGTTAGGTTCAAGTGAGAACACTACCTTTCATGAGAACTGTGGACTAATCTTTTTCTTTGATTAAATGGGATCTATGGCTGGATTATTTTATGAGGTTAGAGAAATTAAGCATAATTAATGTGGTGATGTGTCAAATATGCATATAGGTGCACGTGCACTAGTTTAAAATACATGAATGCACAAATGTGCACTTTAAAATGCACATGGTATGTGATGTTTGTGATTGCATTAGAACTAAAAGTGCACAAGGCCTGAAAGAAGTGTGCACAGAAAAATAGAGAGCGACTTGGATTAGTAGAGGACGTAGAAGTGCACACAAGGATACCTAACATGCACACACAGAGATCTGTAAATGGCTATGCAAAAAGAATGCACATATGAGCGACAAAAAAAATGCACAAATACGCAACAAAAAGAATGCACACATGGGCGACAAAAGAGTGCACATGAGCGTTTTGTGGAACACAAAATGTGTTCTCTACAAATGCGCAATAACACACACAGATATGAAAATGGCTACGCATAAAGAAAACAATGATCAAGAATCCTGCCAAAATTACTCCTCCTACAATCATGCTTAAAATCCAAAAATAATAATAATATGATTCCAATTAAATTGGTAGAATTAGTTCAAACTATATTTGTACACTTTTTCATAGAATTGTTTTATGAGGTCAATGTCTAAATAGGTGGTAGACCTAGTTTTGTAATTCATTGAGCCTTACCTTGTAATTGTAAAAACCGCAAGTTGATCTTTAGTTAAAAAGTTATTTTTCTTGGCCCCGAAAATTAGGTGTTCTCCAACTGCGTTATCAAATTCGGCTGTGTACTTATTTTAGTGCTTCATTTATTTCTTCGTATTGTGTTACATATCTGCATCACATAACTTCAATTGGTATCAGAGCAGTATTGTTGCTCAATTTGCTAGCGATATCCTAGGGATACTCGAGGATTGTTTTACAGAATGGAAGAGTAGAGTTGTGCAAACCCGACCCTATCCGAATAACCCGACCGATCCGAACTTCGAAACAAGGCCACCCGCCCCGATCCGCATCCGAACTTCATTATCCGATCCGCGGCGTGAAACAACGCCGGATAAGGGATGTCGAGTAAGGTAGAATATTTTAAGGCTTGAATGTTAAATTATCAAGGTTGAAACTTGAAATTTCCATTTATTGGTGGAAGCCCTTAACTGAAATTCAGATAATGATGAACTGGATATAGTTCCTGAATCTAGATTTCTTTGTAATGTAAATATGTAAATTTGTAATTGTGAAATTGTGAAATCTTGATAATGATTACACAAACAAGTGTCTGAATCTTGATTTCTTTGTATGTTTATGTGATTGTTGCCTACTTGGATTTGTTGGACCCTTAACTGATGCCCATCATTTTAGATGGAGAGCATCAATGTACTTGATTCTGGACTTCAACCCTCAACTCAAGAGGGACATGGAAGACAAACCCAAGGCACTGAGAAACCTGCTCATCAGCCTCAGGTGACTCCTGTTGTTCCTGAAAAAAGGAAGAAGGTTGAGTCTAGATCAAAAGTATGGGATCACTTTGAAAAGATCCTAGATTCTGAGGGAAAAGTCATTAAAGGCAAGTGCCTTTACTATGCAAAGCTATTTGCATGTGAGTCTAAAAAACATGGCACATCATCCTGAGAAATCATATGTTGGGCTGCTTTCAAAATCCTCATTCAAAGGATACGAGGCAGTCTCTACTCACATTCAATACTGTTTTAACTTCTGGAATAGAGGCTCCTGTGGGGGTTTTGGGGACATGAGTCTTTAATCAAGAGACCATTAGGAAGACTTTGTGTGAGATGATAATCACAGATGAACTCCCTTTTAGGTTTGTTGAGGGCCCGGGCTTTAAGAGGTTTATTCTTGTAGTCCTAGGTTTTAAATCTCTTCTAGGTGGACAATTATTAGGGACATCAACCAAATTTTCCAAGATAAGAGACTAAATCTTAAGATGTTTAGGTTGTGCACCCAAAAAGTCTGTTTAAATGACAAGGAATAACAATTATAATGCCAATAAAATACTTATGCGTAAAAGAGTATTCAAAAATGCATAATTTCCAACCTTCCCTTCTCATATTAAAAGGAGCTACCAATGTTGATTTTGATAACTCAAATATTCTTTGCAGCAAAAACTAAATGTGATGCAACTCACATGAACATACTAGGCAATCTTTCAGACAAAATTTTATATTCTTAATTAAACAATGAATTTAATGATAAAATTAAAGTCAAAGTTGATCTAACACAAAATTAAGAGAAGTTAAAAAGAAAGTAAGAGTCTCCTGTGAGCCAATAGCAAACAGAACAAGAATCCTCAGAACAAATTAAATTACATGACAAATAAATACAGAGTAAACTAATATTGGAGCTGTCCTCTTCATATATGGTGGGATTTATGACGCACCCTGTGAGAAAGACAATATCCACTATCCAGTGCCCATTTAACTGTGAATTGATTTGGAAAAGAGAGAGTAAATAAAGAGAAGGTAATACCTTTGGGAATTGGGATGCTTTCTGCAGCAAGCAGCTGTGGTGTGAAATTTGCCTAAAATGATACTCCGTAGCTCACTTCTTGTATTTTCTGTCTGAAACTTCAAACATCAAACACACGTACGTGTAGATAGGGTCCGCAATTCGGTCGGTTGGAATAACCGAATTAGTTCGGTTTAATAATATACTGAACAAGTGAACCGTAATGAATTTTTGTATACCTTATAATTCGGTAAAAAATCGAACTGAATATAATAATAATAATAATAATAATAATAATAATAATAATAATAATAATAATGACGACGACAACAACAACAACAATAATAATAATAATAATAATAATAATAATAAAAAAGAAGTAAATTCATGTTCCCTTTTGTAGCAATTTATATCATGCACCAGGGCGTGCATTGCACATTGTGCGCCCTGATATAAAACGACGTCGTTTCACATAATTGTATAAACAAATATACATAATTGTATAAACAAACACACATAACTGTATAAAAAATACACATAATTATATAAACAAATACAAATAATCACGTCAACTCACTACCGCGCCTCCCAAAACGACGTCGTTTTGGGAGGCGCGGGGCGCACAGTGCAATGTGCGCCGTGGTACAGGGTATAACGATTGCCCTTTTGTCTAATCCGTCGTTCAACTCATATTCTCACTGATATCTCTATTACATTTTTTATTTGATTTCTTTGTGACTTGTTTTCTACTTTGCACTTTTGTTGTTTGCTGCAATTGTTCTTTGCCTCACAATTGTCTCTAACTTGAGTTATTCTTACAATATTTAATATTTTCCTTAGTTTCATGTTTTTATAAAATTAATGTACTTCAACATCATTCTAATTTGGGAATAAGGGTCAAATAGGCCACCGAACTGCACACCAAAGTGCAATTAGGTCATCGAACTCAAAAAGAATGCAATTGGGTCCCTGAACAATACAAAATAAAAAATGACATGTTGGCTCACAGAAATTCAAGAATCCGCAACCCTTGTCAACGGCTATTGGAACGTCGTCTAGTTGATGCTCTGTCTTGTGTGTCTCCACCTCGTGCTTCGTCACGAGCTTGCACCCTTCCTTGTTCCTGCTCACCGCCCTAAACGTCACCGTCTCCTTTGTATGGCTTTTGGCACTGCCATTTCAAGTACGAGGTGGGAGAGGAGAAAATTGTATGTAGATGTCCTGAAAAAGAAAAAACAAAAAACAAAAACACAAAACGCAATCTTTGAACAAAAAAGTAGAGAAGTACACAAACATACATATAGAAAGATATGCTCACCACACCATTCTTGAAACCTAGAACAATGGGTTTGAAGAAGTGTGGCTTTTGGGAGGAATACATTACATAGTGCAAAAAACTTGGAAGAAAGTTTTGTCTAAGGTAAAAGTGAGGTGATGAGATCCAGATCTGGTTTGATATAACTCATGATATGAGATCCAGATTTGGGCGCAAAAATCGAAGTGACTTTTTCGCAACCCTTTTTCAAAGAAGATCGTGGAAAGTTAATTTTTATTTTGATAGTTAGGGTGGGGGGGGGGGACGCCACCCCGTGGGCCTATAGGCGAGGTGGGATGGGCTTGGCTATTAGCGGCCCGCACATGCACGCCCAACCCCTATTGACAGCTCTATCCATAAGTTCCTACTTGTACTTAGGATGCAATGCCATAGGTTTTCGTCAACACACCAAGCAGGCCAAGCTACCCAAATATCAACACGACCTCGTGACGCCTATTGAGAAAGGAGCATGGCCGTGTCGACGGTACTAATGCCCTTGCGAAAAATGACACGGTTGTGACACACCTAGGACATGGCCGTGTCGACAATGACCCCCTACCCCCGGTGGATTTGGCTTCCGAACATCCTCTAGATGTTCCTTCTAGGCCTAAATGATGTCGACCAACACCCCTAGCTCAATGTACACATCCTATGGTCATTCACCACATGACTCGTGACTCCACAGGTAACAAAACTTTGATTGATGTATAGATAACTCTAAGCTCACCTGCCATTTTCAAGTCGTGAAGAGCCCTGAATGGCAAACAATAATGGACGAAGAATTCATGGCACTACTACCCAATAACACCTGGAAGTTGGTTCCACCTAAATCTGATATGAATGTAATTGGATGCAAGTGGGTGTTCTGGCTTGCTGCAAAAGGATTCAACCAGGTTAAAGGAGACGATTGCTTTGACACTTTAAGTTCAATGGTCAAGTCAACTACAGTAAGACTCCTCTTATCTCTTGCCATAAAAATATGATTTGGTCGATAGCTTGATATTCACAATGCTTTCCGAATGGCTGTCTAAATGAGAATGTCTTTATGAAGCAATCACTCGGGTACATTGACAAAAATCGTCCTAATCATGTTTATAAATTGCAAAAGTCCCTCTATGGTTTGAAGTAAGCACCTCGTGCGTGGTTCAAGCATTTTCATGAATGTTTATTTCCAATAGGATCCAAGGCTTCAAAAACTGATATCTCTTTATTTTTCTATTCTATTGCTAACACACAAATTTATTTATTAGTCTATGTTGATGATATACTAATAATGGCTGCAACAAAAGCCTCTTCACCTCTATAACAAGCAAACTAGTTGATATCTTCAAAATCATATATATGGGACATCCAAACTTCTTTTTGGGAATAGAGACAGTTCATAGCAAGGGGGCAATGATCCTATCACAAAGAAGGTACATGATTGAAATACTCAAAAGGTCAGGAATGAAACAATGCAAACCATATGAAAATCCCACACAATACTGCAATCTAGTTGGACCACTTTAGTATCTACCCGTCACTTGTCAAGATCTCTCATTTGCAATCAACAAACTCTACCAATTCATGCACTCTCCAAATACTAAGCAAGCTGGGTCGTTAAGGTATGTCAAAGGTACTGTAGACTATGATCTACATTTTACTATGATATTCATGCCTTTTCGGATTTTGATTGGGTGGGGTGTCTTGATGATTGCAAGTCCACTAGTGATTTTGTTGATTTCATTGGTAAAATTTAATATCTTGGGCATGTTGCAAGCAAAAAAACAATGGCTAGATCCTCAACAAAAGCATAATACAATAATATTGTATTAGTGTAAATCTATTTTTATCATCCCTGACCTGACTAGAATAATCTTTGTACTCTTATAAATACATCTCTTCCTGTATTTTATAAACTGGATTAATCAATATAAAAATTCTTGATAGAATTATTGTTCTCATCATCTTAGCACCAAATATGTTGAGAATAACTGGCCATAATGACATTGTGACTATTGAAGGTATTTTTCAGCTGTGGAGAGCTACTTGCTCAATGAATCATCTTTCTTTACCTTAAACTTTTACTTGATATTGATTCTACCAAGCTTCTAGGTGAAAGGATGTAGTGGCAATTATCCCAAGACTTTACATTCCAAGATCCATAATATGTTTCAGGTATCGAAGTCTAGGATATAGATAGTAACAACATTAGTGGAGTAGATGAGCAATGATACATATGTTTTGAGGATTTAAAACCAATAACACTGAAGAAGAAATCATACTTGAACCACTCTCAACGAGCTTGTTTTCAGCTATAAAGAATTAAAGAGACCATTGTAGCCGGCAAATCTCCCCTTCTTCTTTATCAACAGCGCATAGACATTATATTTACTCGAACCTCATATTCTCCACTTCTTCCCGTACTGAATCGAACAGCTCAGTCGAGAGATAACGCTCCCCAAAGCTTGGGAATATGACCTGCAAGTGGCATTTCATTGAACAAGGCAAGCTTCACTGAGAATGTGATGGATTACTAGGGTAATGAACTAGACTCCAAGACTTGAGACCATTGTTTAGAAGCAACTTATATTTCTAGCTTCACACAAGAGCAGCGAGAATATCTAGACCGCCATCACATTTGCGGGCCAGTCTTAATACCACTTGTTAGGATCAAGTGTTTACCACTACGCTAAAAATTATAGTTAGTAATGAATGTGCAACTTTATTTCCTTATAGACTGCCATCACATTTTCGAGAGGCAGGGTGCTGGACTTAGTCCATTACCGGCCTCCGCCCAACATAGTGTCGGGCATATGAAACGAGTCAGACTTACAACAAGAAGTTTTCCCGCATTCTCTGGCCTTCTTGCAATTTTGATTGCAGCAACAGTTGCTGCCCCTGATGAAATGCCCACCTGAGTGAAAATGGAGAATTGAACTTTCAGGTATATGACAATGTACATCAAACAATGAAGAATTAAAGGGAAATTACATCAAAGAGATGGCATCACCATAATACACATACAAATAAACCTTCTTTCAGACACAGAAGCTTTGTCATTTCAAAGGCTTCCTCATTGGTCACCTAAAATTAATGCCCGACAAGATCAAGCCGTTAGCAAAATTGGGCGGGATAGATATTCAAAATATCCAAACACAAAATCACATGATCAGCTACCTGGCAATAAAATATATAATACAATTCAAGAAAGAGATGATTATGCATGGATACTTTCATCTGATTTAATTGCTATTCACTTCAAGATTCAAATTACAAAGATGATGATGCTTTGCTAACACAGTTTAGAAAACTTATTACATCAGAAATTTGAATTGATGAACAAGATAAAATAGTATTCAGAATTCAGATGATAAAACATTGCAATCAACAGTTCATGTCTACAATTAAAGATTGGTATCTTTTCCTTTGTACTATGAAAAAACTGCACATTTACAATTTAGCATTACTAATTAATCTACTAACATTGACTACAAATATCAGTTTGGTTAAAGTAACTAATTAAGGAAATTAATTCAGCATATGGCTATTGATGACCCAATGGGTTTACTATGGCTTGCAGTACCATTGGTCCACTTCTTTTTGTGTATGCCCCCTAACTGGCTATACCTAATAGACTTTCTTAAAAAATTTTAACTTAAGAAAATTTTTAAACAATTTGCAAAACAGTTAGGTTAAGAGCTAGCTACTCACGGGTTCGCTAGTAACTTGCAACGGAAGTCTAAAAGACTGCTCGCAGCGGATTTGGTAACGCGTAAAACAATTTGATGATCAAGTCAACTAAAACCGTGTACTTAGTGTGTGCAAGATCCAGTCAGCCGGGTTAGGGCAACTATAAATATAAAGTGCTGAAAAGTAAAGAGAGACAAGAAATTGTATAGTGATTCGGCAGTCGTCTACTCCACTCTTCCCCTCAACTCCGAAGAGGTTCCACTAACATTCAGTGTAAATACACTGGAAGGGTCACATAGTGTATCCACCAAGCACTATTGACCAAAACTGGTCACGTTCCCTCGATCCGGTTGTGCACTCCTAGGCCCTGGCGATCTTCAACGTCTGGCTTGCAACACCAAGGATCTACCACAAAGTCCCCTTGTGCGCCAAGCTTCCAACCCAAAAATGGTTTGGTAATTTTGTTTGTAAACACAAACGAGTGGACGCGAATGAGCTTCTCAGCAATCGTCAATACTTGGGCAATTCTTGGCAGCTTCAAAAGCTCTGGGAATCCTCTATTTTGATTCTATTTGTAGGATAGAGGTGGGTGTAGGGTGGTCATTTGATTCTGAAAAGAATCTTACCGTCTGCCACAATGCACATGCAGTAATTTTGTCAACTTCTCAAAATGGGGTATCTAAAGTCCTAATGCATCATCAAAATCTAAAGATACAATGATTCCTAAACTTATAAACTCATATGTTCTCTCTTATTTTTTTCAATGTGGGACTCTTAAGTCTTAACACTTCTCAAGGGATCTACTTTTGCCTTACCTCATTGATTGTGAACTCTGACTGCCAACCATTGTTCAGGATCTTCTTGTACCAAATTATATTGGTTGATCTTCACCTTCTGGACTACACCCAAGTTATATTTACTTTCTTTCTGACGTTGCACAATTTATGAAGGATCATGTTCTACCTTTCATTACTCATTTCTCTAGTTCATGTTGCCCCTGTGGGCATGGCATGTAGTGTAGCTTTAATACCAAAAATTGAGTTTCTCTAACTACCACTGATATTACCAAACATATGTTCTTGCTTATAATGCTAATTCTTTTGCTGCATTTCGAAATTGTGAAGGGATTCCTATATCAGAGCTGAAGGGATTACTCACTAGTCAATACAAACTGAAATGTTAGAATGTATAGGATCTTTTGTTTTTAGATCGGCAGGAATGTTTTGATTCATAATGCACTGTACAGCATACTTTCATTCATTCAGATTTTTTAGATCGGCAGGAATGTTTTGATTTTTTTTTTTTTTTCCTTTCTTAATAAATGTGATTAAAAGAAAAACTTGTGCTTGAAAAATAAGGAGGATCTTACTGTAACAACTTCCTCAAGTATGCTCATGTCCAAAACCGCAGGAACAAAACCACCACCAATACCTTGGATTTTATGTTTTCCTGGATGAAGATAAGTACATATGTTAAACTCAGATGAGGAAAAAAAGAAAAAAAGAGGACTGTTTATATAGGCTTACAAGCCTACCAAACTTGGGATTTTTATTTTTGATATCATTCACTAATGCAGCCAGTAATTAATATAGGCTTGTCCTTTCAAAAAAAAAATATAGGCTTGATTTTAGGACAACGTGGCATGACATTAAGATATGACACAGAAGCCCGCATGGGCAGCTCAGTTGGTCACAGGGGTGAAGTTTGGGAAGAATGACCAAGGATCGAGTCTCACTAGCGGCAATGTGGGAGCAACCTCTCAAAGTGAGGGGGGCTCATTGTGCGCAGTAAGCAAAAGGTCTAGCCTCTGTGTTCGGCTGAGTTACCATGATTTACATCCTTCCAAATATTCTGTGGGGCCCTTAGGGTTGGAGATTCAACCTTTTTGGGAAGAAGATATGACACATAAGTCATTACTCCATTTGACTATGTACCTTTTCAACAGTAGGAGAAAACCTTCCGATTCCTAAAATCGGATATGCAACTTTGAGCTTAACCACACTCTATCCCAGTTGTTACAAAAACTGAGCAAAGAATTTAAATGAAAAGCAAAAACTTTACCAAAACCAAAATTGTGAATGACATCAAAGATTACTCCAAACCTGGCTTTCCTCCATTTAGAATTGCACTATCAGCTGGCTCTACACCGTATAGCTGCTGGAGAGGAAAAGGGAATACAAAGCAATTAAAAACTAAAAAAAAAAAAAATGAAAGAATTAAAAAAAAAAAAATTCAATATCAAAAAAAAAAAAAAACGATGAATGAGCAAGTCCGAAGTGGTATTTATGATAAAAACAAATCCACCTTTATTTCTGGATTCTTTTCTTTGAGAAATCTTCCTGCACCTGTGACTGTTCCTCCTGTTCCAATCCCAGCAATTAAAGCATCAACATTCCCTTCAGTGCACTTCCATATCTCTGGTCCAGTTGTTTCATAGTGAATCTACACATGGAAAGCTGATAAGAAGAATGCCTCTACCATCTATGAATCAATTCCTGAATCCGAAAACAGGAATACCTTGGGATTAGCAGGATTATCAAACTGACGAAAAAAATAACTGTTTGGGGTCCTATCCATTATCTGTTGGACCTTTTCAAGAGCACCATCTAAACCCTTGGCTCCGTCAGTGATATGTAGTTCAGCTCCAAAAGCTTTAAGAATAATTCTTCTTTCAAGACTATATGTATGTGGCATCACGACTATAAGTTTATACCCCCGAGCTGCTGCAATAGATGCAAGACCAATGCCAGTATTGCCGCTGGTTACCTCTATAAGAATGCTCTTCAGCAACCATATTTACAAATTTGAAGAAAACAGTTCAAGCTTTTCAGTCTGAGAATGTGAAGAGGACTATTATGCAGCAAATTTAAAATTATATGATAAGTACTGTAATCATTCAAAAATTATATGATATAAATTTTGATTTCTTGTTGAACACAATCTTAGCAATAAATCACCTACAAAGCACAAGTGAGTCTTCTCATTTAAAATCTCGGGCAAAAAAACAAGTTTACCTCGAAAAATTTTAGCCGTGTTCTAACAGGAAGTTAATACTTAATACTACACTTCACTAACCTTTCCAGGGGTAATCACACCCTTATCTTCAGCATCTTTAATCATACTGTATGCTATCCTGCATTATGATAATCAGCAATATTGCTCAGACTATTAACCAAATTTTGATCGATAATCAACCTAAAAATTTATTTTAATTTTTAAGAACAAAGGAGAAATTAAAGAAAAAACAAATGCATTTTGCCTGTCTTTCACGCTAGAACAGGGCTCCATCATTTCCAATTTGGCAGCAATACGAGCTACACATCCTTCCACTACGTTGTTGAGGTATACCAGTGGCGTGTTTCCTATTAGCTATAGAATCAAAGTTACGAAATATTAGAAGACCAATGCATAAGAAAAGTTTGAGCTGAATAATTATCAGAAGCTGCATACTTCAGTAATATCTTTGGCAATTTTATCCTTTTCCTCCATAGCCCTAGCAGACTTACTGTAAATGATAAGGAATAACAATTATAATGCCAATAAAATACTTATGCATTAAAATGAGCTACCAATGTTGATTTTGAGAACTGAAATATTCTTTGCAGCAAAAACTAAAGGTGAAGCAACTCACATGAACATACAATTCAATCTTTCAGATAAAATTTTGTATTCTTAATTAAACAATGAATTTAATGACAAAATTAAAGTCAAAGTTGATCTAACACAAAATTAAGAGAAGTTAAAAAGAAAGTAAGAGTCTCCTGTGAGCCAATAACAAACAGAATTGAAGAATCCTCAGAACAAATTAAATTACATGACAAATAAATACAGAGTGAACTAATATTGGAGCTGTCCTCTTCATATATGGTGGGATTTATGACGCACCCTGTGAGAAAGACAATATCCACTATCCAGTGCCCATTTAACTGTGAATTGATTTGGAAAAGAGAGAGTAAATAAAGAGAAGTTAATACCTTTGGAAATTGGGATGCTTTCTGCAGCAAGCAGCTGTGAAATTTGCCTAAAATGATACTCTGTAGCTGACTTCTTGTATTTTCTGTCTGAAACTTCAAACATCAAACACACTTGCGTGTAGATAGGGGTCCGCAATTGGGTGGGTTGGAATAACAGAATTACTTCGGTTCATTAATATACTGAAAACTGAATGGTAATGAATTCTTGTATACAGAATAATTTGGTAAAAAATCAAATCAAACTGAACCAAATACTATATGATTTTTAATAATAATAATAATAATGAAGTAAATTCAAGTCCCTTTTTGTCTCTGCTCTTCTGTTCAGCTCATATTCTTACTGATATTTCTATTAATTTTTTTTTTTTAAGAAAAGAATAACTCTTATTAAAAGAACAAAACAAAGTCTTGCCAAGACCCAAAAGTGACCGAGGCTACAAAGAGATAAAAGAATAAAGCAAAGAGGCCTAATGCTAACTAATAAAGGAGATAAAGTCTAAACCACCAAGTGGGCCCAACACCCATTCTACAAACCACCTGTACCACATGCAAAGCTGGACAATTCCTGGGCGTCATGCCCTACACAAAGGGTGGGAAGGGTGCTCCAAAGTCAAAGAAGGACTAGTTTCACCCTCAAGCGTCCGGTCGATCCCCCGCGGTACAAAGCTCTGCATTTTTATCCGATGGGACCTATGCGACCATCCACAGAAGTAATGAAACCTGCCTCCCAAAACCCGACCACCCTCATGCGTTGGACAGATCCCTTCGGTACAGATCTCTGCATTTTTATCCGGAGAAACCGTGAATAGTCCGCCACATGAGCAATGGTTCTCACCTCCACCCACCCTTGGAACCAGGCCCGGCCCTGGGCAAGGGCAGGCTGGGCCCTTGCCCAGGGCCCACGCTTGGAAGGGGGCCCCCATCCCACCCCACTATGTTTTATTTATACTATAGTGTTATTAGTATAGGTATTTAATATACATTAGAATTACTAAATGGGTTATTTAGCCTAACTAGTGTTGCCTTGTTTATTTCTTAAAGGTCGTGGGGTCGAGCCCTTATGCGTACAATTTCATTCTCTACTTTGTAGAACTACTATTAGAACCCATATACGTACATTAAATTTATGTAGTATTAAATTGAATTTATTTGTATTTTTTATTAAATTTGTAACTTTGTAATTTTTTTTTACCTTTCTATAATAATAATGAGATTTATAATATAGATTGATTTGTGATCTATATCAAATTTGGAATCAATTTCTATTCGAGTAATTTACAATTTATATTTAGAATACATGTTATTTTGTGAACTTTATAATGAATAATGTACATGTAATATATTTTGTGATTTAGTTATGAAAAATATTTGAAAAGATAATTTACTTTTTTTATGAATTATCTAGTTAATGTAGTTTAGAAGTTCTACTGTGTGTTATCGTATTTAAATTAATCTAGAAAAAACTTGAAATTAATCTAACTAAAACAAAAAGTATTTATAAATATAACACCAATATAGAAGATATGTGATTTATAATGTGTTTTCTATTCGAACTATTTTATCAAATTAATTATGTTTCATATTTTATTATGAATATCTTTTATCGCACTTAAAGTGTTCTGATTTATTTTTCTCAATAATTAAGACTTCATGCTCTGCTCTTGTTTATAAGTTCTGTTTTATAAATTCTTAATAATAATTACTTTATTTTTTTTTATAATAATCATAATGTGATTGCGTATAAGTTTATTTGGTATCAAATTGTTTATTCGTTTTTATAAGCTATAATTGTTTATTTATGAAGTCACTGATGCAGGTATTGATAATTTTGAATTTAGGAAAACATATAGAATTGTTTTCATATGTATGTAAAATAGTTAAACACTTTTTAATCTTATTTCAAGTTATTTGACATTAGTATTTTCATGGTCGGATTTTGGGGCATGCAAGATGAGCAATAACACAAGGCCTCAATTTTTAAAGGGCCTAATATTTACACCGTTCATACTTATTTGACATAAAAATCATATATTTTACAGTATAAATTGTGATTTTTGCATTCAACTGAGTGTTACACCGTTCGTACTTATTTGAAATAAAAATCTTATATTTTACAATATTGGTTTTAAAGGTTGCTCTTATACTTTTGATAGGGCTTCATTTATTTATAAGAACGGGGCCACAAATTTATTTTTTTTAAATGCCTATTTTGTGACCCGTCCTTATTTAATAAAAATTTTAGTTATAAAAATGTATATTAATTTCATGTAGCTAGGGCCCATTTTTGTTGCTACGCCCCGGGCCTATAAAATGATAGGACCGGCCCTGCTTGGAACCCAGGCCACCCTCGTACGTACAGAGCTCTGCATTTTATCACAGAGGGCTTCAACGGCCCAAAGTCCCAAACGATGGCTCCCTAACCACTGGTGCCAACATATATACCACCCTTAAGCGTTAGACCAGCTCCCTCAGTACAGCGTACTGTATTTTAACCCGGGGAACCTGTACAGCCATCCACAGAAGCAATAGTATATATGCTAAGCACCAGAAACCCACCTCACACCCACCTAACCCTTTATAGAACAACCAGCTTTTTCTTCCAATCACCAACTCAAGCAAAATATTTGAAGCAGACTAAGAGAGCACTCCCACCTCAGAGTGTATGCTATGCATGAAACACAAGAATCAAATCCCTCGAAACACACAGCCACAGATAGAAGCATGAAGGCACAGAGAGCACAGAGCAGAAAGAGAAAACTCCCAGTATTGGAAAGCCCCCTACGCTCTATGCCGGCAAGGCCAACTACTCAACTAGCCCAGCATAAAACAATAAAACATGAAGAAATGGTACAAGTCTAGGAATATCTCCGCTAAATAAATAAATGAAAGATAAATAAGGAAAATAGAGACGCGAATTGCAGGCCAAAAATACAGGCACGCAGGCCCACACAAAATACAGGCCAGCCAATCTCCTCTCAGCACCAGCAACGAACAGTAACCAAAACCCTAACGGGATTAGCTACTATGGGCCAGCAGCAAGTCTGACTAGGTCTATTAAATTTTTTATTTGATTTATTTATGATTTATTATCTACTTTACACTTTTATTGTTTGTTGTAATTATTCTTTGCCTCACAATTATGTCTAACTTGAATTATTCTTACAATATTTAATATTTTTCTTAGCCTCACAATATTTTCCTTTTGCCTCACAATATTTGTGTCTACCCAGCCGTTGCCCATTTTTGGTATTTACTAATCTATACTATATATAATAACAAAATCCTGAAATTTTAACTTTCCGCCCAATTCCTAAAAAATCTCTATTCCCAATAAAATATATTGATTTCTACTTTTCCATTCGTACAATAATTCTGGATAAAAATTCTATTCTCAAATTTTAAAATAGTAGAATACAATTCCCTTTATACATCTATCTATACTATATATAATAACAAAATCCTAGAATTTTATCTTTACGTCCAATTCCTAAAAAATTTCTATTCCCAATAAAATATATTGATTTCTACTTTCCCATTCGTACAATAATTCTGAGTAAAAATTCTATTCTAAAATTTTAAAATAGTGGAATACAATTCCCTTTGTACATCTATACTATATATAATAACAAAATCCTGAAATTTTAACTTCCCGCCCAATTCCTAAAAAATCTATCTTCCCAATCAAATATATTGATTTCTACTTTCTCATTCGTACAATAATTCTAGGTAAAAATTCTATTCTAAAATAGTGTAATACAATTCATTTTGTACATCTATACTATATATAATAACAAAATCCTGAAATTTTAACTTCCCGCCCAATTCCTAAAAAATCTCTCTTCCCAATAAAATATATTGATTTCTACTTTCCCATTCGTACAATAATTCTGGGTAAAAAGTCTATTCTAAAATAGTGTAATACAATTCCCTTTGTACATCTATACTATATATAAATAATAACAAAATCCCGGAATTTTAATTTTCCGCTCAATTCCTAAAAAATCTCTTCCCAATAAAATATATTGGTTTCTACTTTCCCATTCGTACAATAATTCTGGGTAAAATTCAATTCTAAAATAGTGTAATACAATTCCCTTTGTACATCTATACTATATATATAATAACAAAATCCTGGAATTTTAACTTTCCTCCCAATTCCTAAAAAATCTCTCTTCCTAATAAAATATATTGATTTCTACTTTCCCATTCGTACAATAATTCTAGGTAAAAATTCTATTCTAAAAATAGTGTAATACAATTTCCTTTGTACATCTATACTATATATAATAACAAAATCCTGGAATTTTAACTTCCCGCCCAATTCCTAAAAAATCTCTTTTCCCAATAAAATATATTGATTTCTACTTTCCCATTCGTACAATAATTCTGGGTAAAAATTCTATTCTAAAATTTTAAAATAGTGTATTACAATTCCCTTTGTACATATATGCTATATATAATTTATACTATATATAATAACAAAATCCTGGAATTTTAACTTCCCTCCCAATTCCTAAAAAATCTCTCTTCCAATCAAATATATTGATTTCTACTTTCCCATTCGTACAATAATTCTGGGTAAAAATTCTATTCTAAAATTTTAAAATAGTGTATTACAATTCCCTTTGTACATCTATGCTATATATAATCTATACTATATATAATAACAAAATCCTGGAATTTTAACTTCCCTCCCAATTCCTAAAAAATCTCTCTTCCCAATAAAATATATTGATTTCTATTTTCGTACAATAATTATGGATAAAAATTCTATTCTAAAATTTTAAAATAGTGTAATACAATTCCCTTTGTACATCTATACTATATATAATAACAAAATCCTGGAATTTTAACTTCCCGCCCAATTCCTAAAAAATCTCTCTTCCCAATAAAATATATTGATTTCTACTTTCTCATTCGTCTAATAATTCTGGGTAAAAATTCTATTCTAAAATAGTGTAATACAATTCCCTTTGTACATCTATACTTCTATACTTCTATACTATATATAATAACAAAATACTGAAATT